CTCTCTCGTCTCGTCTCGTTGGACGGCGGCAATTTGGGTAAATCTGTCGGAATTCTAGGAAAAGACGAGTCGCCTATGGAAATCCTGGAAGGATCAGGTAGTTCGTAATCTTTTCCACGAAACGTGTATGTTTTCTTTTCTCGGTTCTCCTTCCTTTCCTTTCCTATCCTATCCTACCTCCCACCATACTTCGTTCCTTCATCATGCAACTCTATACATCTATCTCTTCTCACTCTTATTCTCTCACTCTGTCTTATTCATGTGCGGTGCACTTCTTTGAGTCAGACCTCGATCACAGTAGTTTCTATCCTCGTCGCGTCGGAGCAAGTGCGAAGAAGCAACAAGGCAAAACCTCCGGAGTGGGGGCGGAAGAATACAGAGAGATAGAGTGAGTAAGTGTTAGAGAAGTAAGAGGATAGAAGGTCGAGAGATTCCCCAATTTTATACCTGCACTCACTCACTCACTCAAACACACGCACCTACCACCGCAATCTTCCTGGTACGCATCTGCTGCAATAACAACAAACAATAGCTGTCGTAATTATAACAATAAAAACAACAACAAAAACAACAATAATATCGATTGGTCGATGCTATTGTGAGGACATTTAGTAACTAACTGTTTGTTACTATTGATTTCAATTTGAAATTATCTCGTGTTTGGACCTTGCTGTTAAAATGTACTGTGTTTGGTGAAATTTGTTGAATTTGCGTGGGTGTATTCGTGTTTATCAGTAGGAATTAGTCACACACACACACACACATATATATTTTAGTTATTTATTGTCGTTTGCTCGATTATCAGTATTTTGTAATTTTCAGAAGGTGAAGAGGGATCACCGAGAGAAAGGAAGGGGTAGCGTTTATATTTAAGAGAGAAAAGATGGACCAGCAGGACAATTACCTGCACAAGAAGTTCAAGAAGCAGCTCAGCATCGAGCCGAGGACTAATCACCACGCATCGTGCAACAGCAACAATAACAACAACAACAGCAACCTAAGCAACAATAACAACAACAACAACAATGCGGCGAATGAGGTTGCGTTGCCGCAGCAGGAAGTGGCGGATGGCGTCGGTGGTGATGCTAGTAGCAGTGGTGGTGTGCCAACAACGAAAAGTACAAATAGTGTAACAGTTCTGAGTTACGTAAAGAAGTCTTCCATATCGTCGCCGCCGCTGCCCTCGTCGTCGTCGCTGTCTTCATCGTCCTCGTCATCATCGTCTTCGTCGTCATCTCTTTCGTCACCGCCGTCATCGACGACGGCGATCGGTGCGAACGGTGTTGACAACACCAACAATGTTATTGTTGATGTTGGTCAAATTGATGTTGGCGATGGAAATCATCCGCAAGACATATCGTTAAAATCACTCAGCCTACAGGAGTCTTCCGCAACAGCAGCAGCAGTACCGTCGACGGCGACGACGAATTCAACGACGTCGGCATCGTCATCGACGGCGGGCGGCAAGTATGTGTGCACATACTGTAATTTGGCCTGCTCGAAGCCGAGCGTCCTGCAGAAACACATCAGGGCGCACACGAACGAGAGACCGTATCCGTGCGTGAGTTGCGGCTTCAGCTTCAAGACGCGCTCGAATCTCTACAAGCATTGCAGGTCTCGCACGCACGCGAATCGTCTGCTCGGCAACTATGGAACCAGACCGTCGCCGGGAATTGCAGGCGGAGCGAATCAGGAACAGGATTCATCACCGCCGACGATTACCACCAGCACCAACGACTCGGTCAGTCCAGAGCGTGACCAGCTCAAAGAAGATAACCACGTCGAGCAGCAGCAGCAACAACAACAACCACCACAACAGCAGCAGCAGCAACAACAACAACAAGTGAATCAAATGAAAAGTAAACCGTACAAACCGCGTTTCCACACGCGCGATAACGGTGAGAACGTTGAAAACGAAGTCGCGATACCTGCAGCGAATTCGGAGATGATCATGCACATCAACGAGATCATCGACAAGAACAATTCGATTGTGAACAGCGAATTCGCGAGGCGACGACCTTCAGACGAGGACGTGTCGTCGTCGTCGGCAGCAGCAGCAGCAGCAGCCGAACCTCTGAATCTGACCAAGAGTCGCAAGAGATGTCTGAGCGAGGTTTCAGAGCCGTCGACGCAGAAGAGTCTCATCAAGGAGCTGCTTCTGAAGAATCTGTACGCGGACACGAACATGCGTTGTCCGCACTGCAAGATGATCTTTCAGACGGTGACGGAGCTCGAGCTGCACAAGATGCGCAACTGCAAGGGCATCATCAAAAGCGGTCCGAGATACAGCAGGAGCAGTTCGGTGAACGTCGCCTCCATACTGACTCAAAACAAGAATGCTTTCGATAATATACCTGCCGTCTTTCCACTGAAATCGCCCGGACCGTTTCTGGGCAAGACGAGGCTGGTGGAGAGCGACAAGAGCAAATCGTTCTCCTTCGAGGAGGGCATCGAAACGATCCGTTATTCCTCGTTCTCGTACGACAGCAGAACGAAGCGGCCGCCGGTGAAGATGTTCGGCGGTGAGGTGAAAATTACGCAGACGTCCGGCGAGACGAAGAGCTTTAAGATCGACGGAAAAGAACGTGGCGAAGAGGGCGACTATCCGGATTACAAGATGAGCGAGAACCGCGTCGTCAAATCGACATTGCAATCGGGAGGGACGGTCATGCAGAACAAAGTTGTAGTCGGCGGGTACGTAAAGCAACACCATCAACAGCAGCAGAATGAGCAGCATCAGCAGGAGGCGACGTCGGCGGAGAGAATAGATTCGTCGTCGTCGGCCGAGTGCGTGACAGCGGTCGAGCATCATCATCATCAGAGAGTCGACAAAGATCCTCCGGACCGCATAATCGTTAGAGACTTGTCGAACGGTGCTGCCACCAAGTATCCTAATATTCTCGATTTTAGTCAAAACGCGGTGAAGCTGTTGGCGCCCAATCTGCGTCAGCTGAACCTCTCGATACCGCTCTCGTCTTCGTCCAGACCAATTATCACGACGCCCACGCCGAATCATCTGCTGACCATTTGCGAATCGCCTCAGACTACGACGTCGACGCTTTTGGGAAGGATCGCTATCAGGAAGGAAATCATTGCTTCACCACAGCAGATGCAGCAGCAGCAGCAACAACAACAACATAACGGAAACATCCTAAATCCGTTGAATCTTTTGGTGAACGGAAAGGTGGTGCGATACGTGCCCGGAATGCCTGGACCTGTCGTCGCCGAACCGCCGGTCAAATTGGAGAAACCTCCTCCTCTACCTCCGATCATAACGATCACGACGGACACGTCGCCTCCGTCACCGCCGTTGCCGCCGCCAAAGCAGCAGCAGCAGCAACAGAAGATGTCGCCACTGATGAAGCTACAGCCGTCTTCTTCTTCGCCGGAGAAGAAAAAGTTTGCACGGCCCAACAGTCTGGCGCTGAAGCCGAGTATGAGCGCACTGAAGCAGCATCACGGTCTCACCCCGACGATGTTCAATCAGATCCTCATCAGTCCGGACACGCCGCGCGGCGCCAAAAAGTACAACGAGCACTTTTTGCACGGCAACTACTTCAGCTATTTGGGCCTGAAGAGTTCCACGAAACCGGTCTACTGTACACTCAACAAGACGCAACCTTTTTACGTGCCACACTTTAAGAAGTTGAGCATGTACTCTGAGTGGCGGCAGCAGGACAACAAAGCTGACAAGATGTACTCGACGGCGTACGATTCGAGGCAACATAATCAGAAGTACACGACAGCAGGAAAGGATATCGCCGATTACATAGTTCACTCCAGTTATAAGGTAATTTACATACATACATACATACATGCATTAGGTTGTAACAATTATATGAACGTACAAACGTTTTATTTTCTTGCAGTTCAGCGTCAGCGAAAACAGTGGCGACAAGGAGGACGAAAACGGAAAATCAAACTCGATATTCGGAGGCTACGAGTCCAACGAGGATTACACGTACATCAGAGGTAGAGGTACGGATAGTTTACTAAATCAATTCGCATATCAATGAAAACATAATAATTTGGGATTTGTTTGTTGTTGGTTGTTCAGGTCGAGGTCGATACGTTTGCGATCAGTGCGGGATTCGTTGCAAGAAGCCGTCCATGCTTAAGAAACACATCAGGACCCATTCTAATGACAGGCCGTATACTTGCAGGCACTGCAATTTCAGGTATGCAGGACTTCCAATGTCTTTGAGTGATGCGGTCGCAGGTAGTAGTGAGCCTATTTCTGCGTTTCACAGCTTCAAAACCAAGGGGAATCTGACCAAACACATGAAGAGCAAAGCGCACACCAAGAACTACGCGGCCAGCTCCAGTTCCCCAGGTGCGGCGGCAGCGGCCGCCCTGCACGCCGGATATCAACCGTCCTCCGATTCGGATACGGACGACAGCGGAATGGACAGTAGCGGTTAGTAGTAGTCCACATTACAACATTCCACCACATTTGACAATGATTTTAATTTCCATCAATCCAGATGAATCGTCGACCAGACAGGAGGAACACGAGGCCGCTTACGGGTTGCTGTCGCTTTCGCAGAAGTCTCCAAACTCGTCTTCTCCGAGTCACTACAACCACAACAATGCACATTCGGATCATTTCATGAATGCCGATCAGCTGGTGCACGTGTCGAAGACGAACTTCGCAAAGAACGTGATCCTGGACCAGCAGAGGAGCAATCGTACATTGGGCATCATCAACTCGACGATCACAACGGCGAACATTTACACTACAACCACCACCACCGCCGCCACATGTACTACCTCCTCAAGCGCGCTCCTAAGCAGCACCGGTTGCGATGAAGAACCCGAATACACTCAATATCTGGGCAAATCGAATCCGAACAGGCCGCTCACCTATCCTTACAATACGACGACGTCTTTGTCGGCGGGGACGGCGATGTCCATCGAACCGCCGGTGCTGCCACCGATGCCTCCGCTACGTGACGGATCTCCGCAGCGATTTGAGGTGGAGGAAGAGCCGAGGAGGAGTCCGGAGAAGCAGCCAAAGAACATCACCAACTTTAACGTGATCAAGAGGTACAGCCCGCAGCAACCGACGTCGCCCGTCTTCCGCGCAGGAGGAAAGTCGTTGATGCTGCAAGACGAGGAGATGGTGGACGAGAAGGACAGGAAAAGAAAACGGGAACCACCGTCGCCTCATGCGGTCGCCGCCTACAAGCTGCACAAGAATGTCAACGAGAGCGTGGAAAAGAAGGATGAGGATGAGGAGGAGGAGGAGGTGGTCGTAATAGATCTGTCGAGGAGGCAGAACGGCGCATATCCAACTTTGAATCACCAAAGCAAGGAACGTCCAGCTCGGACGCCAACGCCTCTTACACCCACGCATCACCAACACCATCAACAGCAGCAGCAGCAGCACCAACAACCCATGCAGCTGGTAGGCAATCAGCACATTTTGGAGCAGCAGCAGCATCAGCAGCAAACGACACCAGTGTTCAGGAATAATGGTCTGCTGATGGAGCATCGAGTCAACTACTATTGCCAAGATCGTCCGCCCATCATAAACGCGGCGCAAGGTAGAATTGCTTCTTCCTGCTCATGTTTGTCTTCTTAATTAATGCGTGTCTTTTTATTTTCGTTTGCAGTGGAGAACGCCGTATCGGTGGCCACCAGAAAGATGTATTACGACAACAGTGCCATGGAGACTCTCGCCGATGTGGCGACGAAGCAGGAGAAACTCGAGAAGAACTCGATGGCGAAGAACGTCGCCTCCGAATTTCTAAAGTTGGCCACACAGAACGAGCAAAATGCGAACGGCGGTGGAGGAGTAGGAGGAGGCGGCTGCGGTCCGAGCACGACGTCGACACTAGGTGGTGCTTGCAGCACGCCCTGCGGAAGCGCCGTCGCCTCCTGCAGTTCCAATACTGGCGTTAGCGGTGGCGGCACCTCCGACGATAAAGCATTCCTCGCAAACTCGGATCTGGTGAAAAGTTCCGAAGAGAACAAGAGTTGCACCATTTGCTCGAAGAATTTCAGCAAACCGTCGCAACTTCGATTACACATGAACATTCACTATCTGGAGAGGCCGTACAGATGCGAAACCTGTTCGGTGAGCTTCCGCACGAAGGGGCACCTGCAGAAGCACGAGAGGAGCGCAATGCACTGCAACAAGGTAACAACAACAACAATATTTTGCGTCATTGATTTTTTTTTTACTTATGTGTACTTTTTTTTTGTTCCATTGCAGCTGTCCTCTTCGCCGGCGACGTCATCGTCTGAGCCGCGACCGTTCAAGTGCGCCGACTGCAACATCGCTTTCCGCATCCACGGTCATTTGGCGAAGCATCTCCGCTCCAAGATGCACATCATGAAGCTTGAATGTTTGGCCAAAATTCCGTTCGGATTGTACGCGGAGCTAGAACGATCCAACAGTCTGCTCACCGAAATCAACACCGCGGACGGCGACCAGTGTCTCGACAGCCTTAAGGTAACAGCGGACATAATTTACGAAGAGTGTGTAAAAGTGTGCAAAATGTTACTACATTCCATGTTTCCATTTGTTTGTTCCAGCTGTTGGCCAAAAGGGTATTCCTCAACGATCCAAGCAAGCAGTCGCATTTCGAAGATGATAAATCGGAAGTCATGGAAACAACGGACACGGAGAGTTAGCGACGATTGCATTTGTTGCCTAGGTTATACAGGGGTCGAGGACGACGTCTGCAACACCGTCGTTATCGCAACCACCACCACCACCAGAAACAACAACAACAACAACATACACACACATACCCTGAAGACTGATTTAAAACAATTTTTATTATACTACTACTAGTAATAGTTAGGACAAGAAATATATATATATATATATGAATATGTATTTGAGAGAGAGAGAGGGAGAGAGAAGAGACGAGTTGGACATTATTTTGTTGTTGCGAACAAAAACGATACTTTGAGGGAGCAGACTTAACGATAGGAAATTTTAATGAAAGATGAAAAAAAATTAAGTATATATATATATATCAAAACGTTATGTGATAATAATTAAATATTAAGTTTGTTATAGTTATTATATATATTGATGATATTTTTAAGTTTTTATTATTATTATTATTGTACGAGAATCATTTGTATATTATGCGCTAGTGATGATGATGATTGTGCATATCGTCAACTGTTTTTGCGGGAATGATGTGGTAAGGGCGGGCGGGGATTCACACAGACACATACACACACACACACTCGCAGATGATGACATATCTCCTGAGACATATAATATCATATCCTCCTCCTCCTACATATTAACAGTGTGATATAAATGTAAAATTATTTTATATAGTCTAAAGAACAATGTAAGGTTTATATATATTTATATATAGGTTTTGATGATGTGTAAGTGTTTATCATTAATTAAGGATGTAGAAGAAGAAAAAGAGAAGAGACCGACCCGCCGCAAAACACGTCGAATGAATGCAGTTAGATGAAGAGTGAAGGAGAAAGAGAGATCAAACGAGAACACTTCCATTCATTCATTTATTCATTCATTTCTTGGTTATATATTTCACCTTTTTGTGTAGCATTTAAAACGTTTGTACATATATATATATATATCATTTTTTTGATTGCTGTTTAATTGTTTTGTTATGAAAAAAATGATTAATTTTGTGATTAAAAACAAAAACAAAACTATGAGAAGTACAAATTAGTTTCTTAATTGCTTTATTATTATATAATTGCTTTCATTTTATTTATTGAAAGAGTTAACTCTTAACTAACTAAATTATCATATTGTCCGTATGAGAGAATGTAGAAATGTGCGCCTTCTTTGAAAAAAATCGATATAAATGATGTAAATTGCAACAGTGAACTACATTAAATTTATTCAATCCGTTCATTTACTTATTTATTGTGGATATTCTATAAGAATTGATGGTTGTAGTAGCACCGTAGACCACGGCGGACGTGCTAACGTGTTTGTTTCGGTAGCACCGTAGTTTATTTAAAAACTAGTTTGACCAACATATGAAAACGATACGAGTTTAAGGTTTAATTATTGAATGTTGGCGAACGTGGATTTTTGAATTGCAATCGAGATTAACCTTAAATTTGTTTATTTCTTATTTTCTTTGGGTTATCAACAAATAAAATAAACAAAAACAACGATAGTTGTCGTCAAGTGCAATCAAAATTATGAGCGGTGCAATGTGGAGAAGCGAAAGGGCTGTGGTTCGATTCCTTCAGAGGAGGATAATATCTGTACGCAACTACAGCAATGCAGGCGATAATCACTTCGATATAATCATAGCAGGCGGTGGAATGGTCGGAACATCTTTGGCCACCGCTCTGGGTGAGTTTCCATATGTTTCTTGTCTGCAATCCATCACATCGTATCGCATTGTTTACAGGTAAAAATAGTAGGCTGTCAAGTAAGAGGATCCTTCTGTTGGAGGGTGCAAAGGAGTTCAGCTGGACACTGCAGGAGGGCAAATACAGCAATCGTGTTGTCGCCCTGAACCCAAACACTCGCAATTTCTTCAGCAGTCTCGGTGTATGGAATGCTATAGAAGATGGCAGATATGGCACGGTCAGGAAGATGCAGGTTTGGGATGGTCTGTCCAATGCCATGATCACCTTCAGCCATGATAATCTGATTGATCCAGTCGCATACATTGTGGAGAATGATTTGATCTTGGATGCGGTGAACAGGGAAGCAAAGACGCTCAACAATGTGAAGATACTGAACGAGGCCAAGATCAAAGGGTACAAACTGAAGGGACACGAGAGCAACGTTAATTCTGTTGTGATGGACAACGGAAATAATTACACCTGCAATTTATTGGTACGTATCAATGTTTGTACATCGGGTGTTGCCTAATTATGATCGTGCACCGTTCAACACTCTTTGTAATCGGACATGTAGTTCATAGAATTCTTTTTTGTCGAGTCCTCTCGCAGGTAGAGGTCGCGTTTCTTTTGCTTGCGCACCTTCCGCTCTACGACCAGATTGTAGATGCTGTTGATGAGATCCTGCGGGATTTTGGCCTCGCGCGGATCGTTCGGTCGTATGTAGAGGGCCGAGTCCCGGTGCGACTTGAGGAGTAGAGCCTGTTTGTAGAGCAGGGTGAGAAAGCTGCGTGGTACCCATTTGAGTAGACGCGAAAAGAGCATGCTTTCGAGATGGGCAACGAGTTCGGCCTGTCTCACGAGACGATCGAGGCCGGCGCTCTGCTGCAGTCCCTGTATATCGCTGACGGCCAAACCGACCATCAGGTTGGTCAGGATGACCGTGACGAGGATGACGAAGGCGAGGAACATGATGTGCGTCGTGACCGGATAGGCGATCGGTTTATCTGACTCGTCGAACATGTCCTCGAACTCGAGCTCCCCCGACATCATGATGATGATCTTCAGAAGACCGACGAAGACGTTCTTGAAGCTCGGATAGCCGGCGAAGAGGACGCCGAAACTGAGGCCGAAGGCGACCAGAAGGCAGAGATAGGCGAGCAGAAACTTGGTGAAGTTGACAGCGACGGTGGTGAACATTTGGATGTAGAGGCCGAATATCGGGAATCTGCCTACGATCATCATCAGTTCGAGCCAGGCCAAGAATATGCCGACGGCGGCGACGTGATGCTGAACGGAGTACATCATCTTGATGTTGCCGTCAATCGGTGATACGCAGCAGAAAACCGAAATCGTGGTCAACCATTGGAGCCAGTTCTCCCACTGTATGATGTACGTGTGCCAGGAGTGTGCGAACTGGAAGATCTCCTTGAGCAGGATCAGCACGTTGAGCGCGAGCAACGTATAGCCGACGGCGATGCACCAGCTCTCCATCAGACAGCTGTTGCTGAAAGTCGAGCGCATCGGTTTGCAGTCCTTGAGGAAGACGCCCATCGTGTAGGCAGAGTACAGGCTGACGTAGAGCGCATGATAGAACAGACTGATGAGGAAGAATTTTCGAATCCGTCGCCACTTGAGGAAGAGAAACGTCTCGCAGAGTGGATGCTTTAAGATCTCTCGATGTCCGACCTCGATGAAGTTGAGCAGAAGACCTGTTTCGCCGTGCACGGTCGTCGGAACGAGGATCGTAAAGTCCAGCTTGAGCTCGCAGTCGACGTCACCGATTTCGTGTTCGGTCAGCTTGATGGCCTGATCGAACTTGCCGAAATACCTGGGGATAACCTCCGGTGTTCGCCTCGTGATGAAAGTGAGCACGGAGATGCCGCCGTTGGTGCGAGCCGTGACGTCGCCCCCGTTGTTGATCAGTAGCAGAATGCAGTTGGTGTACTCGTTGAGGGCGGCCAAATGGAGAGCGGTGTAACCGAAGGCGTCCGGTTCGTTCACGTTGACGCCAGCACCTATCAGATGTTTGACGCATTCGCACGATCTGCTCATCTTCACTATGGAACAGTGCAAAGCGGTACGACCGTTCACATCCCGCTGATTGGGATGAGCGCCGCTCCTTAGCAGCAACTCAAGACACTCTGGTGCCTGACAGAGGGAGGCGATGTGCAGTGGAGTCTGCTTCTTGTTGTTCAGTGCGCCAACATTTGCGCCTGCCTCGAGCAGCATTCGAACGGATTCGACGTTTCCATCTTCGGCTGCTAAATGCAGGGCCGTCGATCTGTCCTGGCCGCACTGAACGTTGATGCCGGCGCCGTGCTTTATAAGCAACTTGATGATTGCCGAAGAGCCGAGGGAGGCGGCCACATGCAGCGGCGTCTCCGAGTACACCTGCAGCGTGTTGGGATTTGCACCCAGCTCCAGAAGCTCCTTAACGCATAACACCTCGCTGCTCTCCACCGCACATCTGAGAGCGCTTCTGCGTTCGATGCCCACGTCGATGTCTGCGCCGCACTTCACCAGGTACTTGAGGCACTGCACGTTGCCACCGCTCGCAGCGCAATGTAACGGCGTGACCCGCTGCGCACGATCCCACTGGTCCACGTTCAGGCCGACTTCCAGGAGCATCTTGACGCATTCGACGTTGCCGCCGCTCGCCGCCAAATGCAGCAGACCCCTGCTCAACCGATCAAACAAATAAGTTAAACCATGCATTTATTTATAGAAAACTAACCATCCGGATGCATCGGTTATTGATATGTTGTCCCTCGAAATTGTCAGCAGATCCTTCAGCACCTTGGGTTTTCCCAGATGGGCGGCGATCAGCAGTCCGGTGGTCGGACCGTTGGGATGTCCCAAGATTGCGGCGATGTTCTCCTGCCTGACCATCCGCTGCAAGTCCTCGTTCCCGCTCAGCAACTATCAACAAAAAACACACGCACACATACACGTTATTTCAAGCGCGTATATTTTGGTGGATGAAGAAAATAGAGAACGAAATGAACATAAACATCATCATCATCACCTGCTGCCTGATTCTGTCCGCATCGGAGATCTCTCTCGGTTGCTTCGACGTCATCCGCATCTCGCAATCGGAGCCGCAATTCTCGCTCTCGCTGGAGATGCTCTCCCAGTCCTGTCTTGCCTCCTCTTCCTCCTCATCGTCCATCCATTTCATCTTGTTTTCCGTGTCGGCGCCTGCGGTAGGTGCTGCAGCTGCAGCAGCCGCGCGTTGCTTCTGCATCTTCATTTTGCACTTTAGAATTTCTTAAAAGAAGAAGATGAAGAAGAACTGTAAATGTTCGCGCCTAGAGCAGGACTGAGAAGCAATGAAATGAGGAAGAATGGAAGGAAGGAAGGGGTTCCTTTCTATTTTTAAAAGGAATAACACACTCGTGCAGAGTGAGTGAGCGTGAGTGTATGTTTACAAATGCGTAAAACTCGCTCGCGTCCTCTTTTTTTTTCCGATTAACGTGTAAATATATATTATCGTTTCTGATGATTCTCTCGTTTTTCAGCTGGGATGCGACGGGGCCAACTCTCAGGTCAGGAAGGCGATGGACGTGCAAAATATGTCGTGGAATTACGATCAGATGGGTGTCGTCGCCACGCTTCATCTCTCCGAGGTATATATAGAACACTATCGATTCGTATCATCATCATCTTGATTATTTATTATTTCACAAGGCCAATGACAACATCGTCGCCTGGCAGAGGTTCCTGCCCAAAGGTCCGATAGCTTTGCTTCCCGTAAGACTCTTCTCCAACTGATACTATGCATTCATCTCTATATAATTGTATTATTCGCTTCGCAGCTCGCCGATAATCTAAGCTCCCTCGTCTGGTCGACGTCTCCAGATGAGGCCAAGCATCTTCTGGGATTGCCGAACGATCAGTTCGTGGATGCCGTCAACGGTGCTCTCGTAATCATTGAATATAATAATCAGTGCAGTATATATAAACGTTCGTGTCATCGTCGTTTACAGTGGAAGGTCCATACAACGGCCGGCTTCGTGGATGAAGTCACCAAGGCCTTCGATGGTTTCATGCAGTCGCTGATCGGTCGTTCGAACGCCGTCCGTCAGCTACCACCTCACGTCGCCTCCTTGGAGGATGGCAGCAGGGCCGCATTTCCTCTTGGTTTTGGACACGCCATCAATTACGTGAAAGATGGGGTTGCACTCGTGGGGTTCGTACTCTCCATTTCTCAATCATTATCATGAACATCATCTAAACCATTTCCAGAGATGCCGCCCATCGTGTCCATCCGCTTGCCGGTCAAGGGGTCAATCTGGGATTCGGCGATGCGGCATGCCTGAGCCGCCTCCTCGGCGAATCCGTCTACAACGGGAAGACACTAGGTACTTTCTTTTCCATCATCATCCACAATTTATGAATCTAAATCTCTGAGATTTCTTCTTTTTTTCTAGGTGATCTCGATGACCTGAAGCATTACGAATGCGAGCGACAGAGACACAACGTACCGACAATGCTAGCGGTCGACGGTCTGCAGAAATTGTACAACACCGAATTCACACCAGTCGTCCTTCTGAGAAGCGTCGGCCTGCAGTTCACAAACGCCCTCGATCCCCTAAAAGTAGGTATCCGGATGCCCCCTATTCTTTTCTTTTCTTTTGTTTGTTAAGAAAACATCTGCTACTCTCCCTCTTGTATTGCCCAAGATAATACCCCATATCTTACCATTTCTATTCTATTTTAGAAACTCATCATGCAGCAAAGCGCAGCCTAAGTGCAAGGAGATTTTTTTTTGGAAAAGTATATAGTTATTGTTGTTGATTTTGTTACTTGTACATAAATATTTTGACGAATAGATTTGTCGAAGCTACTAGTCTCTTGTTTAAATTCTATACACATAAAAATTTATTTCATTAACGAAAACAATTATGTTATGATTTCTCAAATTTGATTAAACAAAGTAATTGTCGCTTATGTTGCACAACATTCAATAAGGTGTATATTGGGTTGCATACAGTGGACGTTCGTTCGCTCGATTATCTACTTTTGCCACACATTATTATTATTATTATGTCTGCCATAATATTTTAACGTTGTTTCTCTCTCATTTGTCAATATAATGATAATATTAATAACATACTCAAGTCAAACTCAACAAAATAATGTAATAAGAAGAAAATAAAAACAAATCGATCTGTTGTAAAGGGCTACCGAGCATATAGGTCTTTCTGCCCTTAATAGAATAATTCACAAATAATTTATTTCTGTACATAGAGTGTGTTATTTTAAAATAAATATATATAATTTCATTTGATACAAAGGGCTATTGACCATAGGTCTGTCTTTCTGCTCTGTGTTTTATTTTTATTTCTTCAAGAATGCTCTTGTCTCTTGTTTTATCCCACGCCACAGCCATCTTTGTTTTCTTTTTAGGATTTCCCATCCATATCGATTCGTCCAAAGCCTTCGCCGCTTTGCATTTATATGCAGCATGAAATGAAATTAATTTTAAAAAATATATTTAATTAGCTGCATGTTGTTAACCCCATGTAATTGCAAGTGCATTTGTTACTCAATGCACAATAACTTCCGAGATTAATTCCAATGATTTCACATTTTATATAAAATGAATAACATGCAAATGAGTAATGCGTAGTAATATTATGATTTGTTATTTTTGTTCCATGAATGCTTCGTTTGTTTGTTTTTTTTTTGTTTTCGTGCGTCAGCCTTCTATATTATTTGTTTTGTAGAATTCCCGTTACGTCGTTAGGTCCATGTGCGCCATGACAACGCCGGATCAATAAAGAAATATCGGTCTCAAAATTATAGAATTCGTTAATTTTCAAACAATTTCTAATTGGGATTATCATCTTTTATTTGTTTACTAATAGTTTGATATTATTTCGAGTGAGATTGTTGAATAAATGTACGATTTATTGATGGAATTGTTGGTACTGCTTTTCGAGCTATGTGCGTAGGAATACGTTTCCTCTGGCGACGCTTGGTATAAATAGCGGGGTACGGTCCGCATCATCTTCATTCGATTCGGCAGCGACGTTGTGTGCGTTTGTGCAAGGAGCAGGGGAAGAAGAGGAGGACGATTGTTGCAGAGGAGAGCACGGACGACAGCAGTGACGGGGGAGACAAACGCGAATTATCCATTTGCTGGGTCATTGTGATAATAAGCAGGTGTGTTTGCAATTCTCTTTTTATTACACAAAGTACGAAGGGCAAGGAGAGACGGAGGGAGAGCGAGAGAGATATAAAAAAAAAATAAATATGGGTGTCGTGGCGCAAGAAAGAATCAACTCGATGAGGACCGGCGAATTGACGAAATGGATCAGCAAGGTAAAGAGCAAGAAGAGGGTGAACAGGAGCAATGGCGATTGCAATTTATATATCCACGCCGTTCTGGCCAACGCCCTTGCTGTGGCCGAGGTGACGCTTTCCGAGAAGCGACGCGAGCGTCAGATGCGCTGGTACAACAAACGCTCAGAGATGGCGCTGGACATGTTGATAGCCAGCGCCTCCAATCAATTGTCGCCGACAACTGATAGTTGTGTGCCGCAACCGCCGACGACTCCACCGCCCATGCAACCACCTTTGCCCGCGTCCGTTCTTGTATACAAGGACAGCGAGGAACTCTCGAGTTTAGACAACTTCATGAACCAGCTGAAGAAGGTCAAATGCGTACCGCGTTTCGCGCAGCAGTGACAAACCAAGAGGAGAAGACGTTTCTGTTCGATGCATCGGATACACAATTTCTAAACTGAAAGAGATGTGATTCCTGAAAATTATCGACTATCTGTGATATTTATATTATAAACATTTATGAATTGTGTATCATTTTTCCGAGAGCTGTGATATTATGTAGAATTTTTTCTTCCAGTCCAGAGAAATTCCACGTAGGGTCGTCACGCACTGCTTCTTGGCGGGGTCTGATGAGGACAAGAGGGTGGGAAATACCTGCGTGTTAAGACTGGTTTGTAAATCAAAAGCGATTGTATCATTTTTTTTTAATTTTTTTCTACTTACTCATTCATATAAGCATGCAACAGAGTAAAGGACGATTTTAATTCAAAACGGTGATCATGAGTGTTTGTACTGAAGTTATCATTCAATGGCTTCCACCATGATTTTAACATTGATATAAACATTTCAGAAACTGATTTTGCGTTGATGTATAATAGTGAGGTCTAGAGTTAGTCCACACGTGAGTTTTGCATCTTGACATTGTGCACTTAGAAAAGAATTACAATCGTCCATTTTTCTGAAGCACTGTTTTCTATATTTGGTAATTGTAATTAATTTTTTCATTCATCAGTAATTTTTGAAAAGAATATTTTTATATAGGAAGTGTAAATATAAATATATATATATTTTAGTATATAAAAGAAAAAAGATAAAATAAAAAACGTGATTAAATTTTTAAAATCTTTCTTTATTTTGTATACATACTAATCGTGTCTTGTTTACCTGGTTATTAATTCATTTGACTTTACATGATTGATGATGAGGAGAGAGCATTCGGCTGGATTTCTTCCTCTGGTCCCATTTCAAGTAAAAGGTGGAGATGCAACAAAAACGTGAGGCGTACACACACACACACAATCATGGTATATGCGTTCGGAGGCTGATGCTGTTGACTGGCTGACAGACTGCTTAGGATGCAATGGTCTTGGTTTAGGGGTAAAATAATGAGAAGAGATAGAAAGAGAGAGAGAGTCATAATGATGATATATGGTAATGATGAACCTTATTTTCAATATTTAATAAGTATCGCATTTAATAAGTGATCGGTATCTGTATATTGGCCATTTATACTTCTGATCACTTATTGATTGTGCATTACTGTAATTGTATTTATTTGATGGTATTTGATGACCGGCGGCCATATGATTTCGTTCATTTGGTTCTACGCCGGGTGTGTGGGATTAAACAGGATTTGTGTGTTTCTTTATCCCTAGGGTGGCTTCCAGCTGCTGCTGTTGTCGTCACGCACCTACTGCCCTGCCCGATGTCGAGTTAACGCTATGAAATTGAAAAAGAAACGAACAAGTACTTCCTCCTCCTCCCCACCCACACGCAAATTGAATAAGAGCGCATAAGAATCAATCGATCAAGACACAAAGACTTGGGAGGGCACGCTCCTTTTGGATATAGGTTGTTGTGATCAGTAAGGTCTGTCTCTTTAATTGTTATTTTATTTATACATTGTTGAAGCGAATTGGGAAAGTTGTTTGTGGCTGCAGCGATCGCGTGCAGCGCGCAAAATGTGTGCGTATTTGTTTTCTTTTATTTTCCAGGATAGATTTCTCTCCAATTACGCGCGCATTCACGCACAACAGCAACAACAATATCTATCTCTTCTCTCTCGAGAGCAATCCAGAAAGCAAGCAAGCAAGCAAATTATGTCTCATGCCAGTGGTGGGCCCCTTCTCCTAAACGAGCAATGAATATCACGCTAGTCTTTGGCAAGTTTGTTGTAGCGATTTGAAATTGCATGGTTTTATTTTGTAAACTTTAAATTATTGTGTAATAATATTTGCATTCGCTGTGGTGGAAATATCCCCACACATGTTTTATGTGTCAATGGAATATGCATATGTTTTTGCAGGCGAGAAGTTGTCCAGACAATTAGGTCTTTCTTGAAGAAGTGCATGTCTTCCATTGATCAGTCGGTGCACGCGTGCAGATCTCTCAGGCAAGCACTCAAACACACACGGCCATTATAAGTAATGCATTCTAGCTAGTAGTGGTGTGACGATTACTCGGTGCGTGGTCCCATACACGACTAAATAAATTGATAGGAGGAAGTGTGCGGTTATGTCTCTATCATCATCACCACCGTTTATATACAACATGCACTGTTTGCAATTGGTATTTTCTCTTGCAGCACATTTAAACTATTTTCTAGATAACTGCTGCTGTTGCTGGTGCAAACCAAAAGTTGCACGGATCATATATACATATTAAAACATATCCAGAATATATAAAAAAGCAAGTCACGAGTTGTGGATGGATGGATGTGGATGGTTCACGTGGGGGAAATTGCGTACACGCCCTACCACAGCCACACCATACCAAAAACTAACTAGCTCTATCATAGTCGTTCTTTATTCTTTCCGAAACTCTGCAAGAAGTTTAAGCGCATCTTCTGGAAAAGGTATCGCTCTCATATAAGATTTAGGTTCACTCATAGCTTTTTTACAGCGCTCGAAGCATGATTGTCTTTGGTGTGTTAGCTACACATTATTAGTAGATATAATCTATACAGTATTATGCCTAATCATCACCAAACAACCACAACCATCATACAACGTCTGCGCTGTCCTTCTTCGTACGTAAAACAAAGTAGCAGAAGAGCATTAAGTAGTTTTTAGATATGTCTTGGAGAGAAGAGTGCACTGCGCAGTTTCTGCATCCAGCAACTGATTAGGATGATGTCCGAAGTTGCTTTTCTCCTCTGATACACATAGTAGATCGAACGATAAATATGAATGGAATTTCAACTCTTCCATTATAAAATAAAAGCAATGCGCGAAAATAATAATATGGAGCGTTGTCAAGGTGACGAAGAAATCACTTGTTCCATAGCTAACTATATTTTCAGTTCAGAGTCTGTCGAGAGGAAAGAGAGAAGAGATCGATCAGCAGCAGTCAGTCACGCTAAATCAATTCGCAAGATCATCTAGTCAGATCAAACAAATATGAATGATGATGTACAGCTGATGCTGCCTTTCATGTTCACTTTATTATGCCTTTATCAAGTTGCTGCTGCTGCTGCTGCAAGGTAACATTCTTTTCTGACTAATAATGACGTACATTTTTTTGGGGATCCAATAGTCCAATATTGCTATTGTCGAGTGGAGTCTGTTTGGATTGTTTAGAAGCCACAGAGATTAATCTCGTCAAATACTGATTGAAAATCATAGGCGTTATCGAAAACGAATCGAATATTATATTACAGAAGTTCCGTCTGATTCACAACGGATCAAAAAGAAAGATTGAAGAAATATGGGACAAACATTCACATTTACTTTTTAGCTTTTACTTGAAAACTAAGCGAACGCCGCACTATGAAGACGAACGAAAGCCAGTAGTCGGAGCATCCTCAAAATTGTGTATGTGCACTCGATCCTCGTGCATCACTCAAGAGAAATGGTCAAATTTATTCACGACAACCTTGCCAATGCATCTACGAACGATCGTTACCCCGTCACACCAGTAAAGGCGGTATCGGCGGCACTGCGCTATTATGCACACTTGATGAAGATGATGATAGTAATGAAGAAGCGAAGCATACACAGTAAGAACAGCCACCTCGCAGCTATCTTAATCCCTGTAATTCTAGAGCATATCAATGAAAAAGTTGTGGCTCCATCTATCCACTGATGTTGGAAATTTGAGTAGCTATCTCTAACTAGCCAACAACAATAAGCTCGAGTTGGACGAGAATATGAATTAATAATATATTATTCAGGTACAATTTCGCTTTTATGATCATCTGATGATGTAAAACAACATCCAAGTAAGTTTGTGAGTGATGCGCAGTTTTCGTTTTCCTGTTTCAACTTAATCTGTTCGAAATCTAATTATATCTTTTGTAATGAAACGAATGATTTGCGAGAAAAGAGTTTTTAAAATATTCGAATTTGTCGAAAGTGTAAAAGGTTAGTTTGTTGTTAGTTGTAAATTGTGTGGGTGGGTGCTGTGTGTGTGTGTTCAGTTTGTTTTTGTTGTTGGTGAAGTGGTCAGTGGCGGTTCTTCTCTTCCTCTTGTCGTTTAATTTTCTATATTCCAATGGACTTGAGAGAGGGTGGATATGTTCAGGATTTGTGTTCAATTCGTTAGGGTTCGATCTATCGATTTTGCAAGAAGATTCTTCGTGTACAGTTTGGGGATGCTTTCAATTCAGGTAACTTTATTAATTTGGAAAAAACAAATGTTAAACTCTTACTGAATTGTATTATACTTTTAGATATGTGTTTGTTGAGAGAGAGCGAGAGGATTCATGTTTAGGAATCATTTCGGGTTATGCAGTCACCCCGCATAAGAAGATAGATGTTCTCCAATTCTTCTATTTGATACCACACTGGCGTGTGATCAAACGCCGCAGAAGAAATGACGTTTCATTCGTCGTTATAAAACTGATGGACCAAGAGATCGACATCTGGAGGAATCGAGGTTTCAACGTATCTGCATTTCCATAACGCCGGAGTGGAGTTCCAGAAGAAGAAGACGACGACGATGGCGACGACCAGGGAGAGGTGAAGGTGACCAGGGCAACGGCTAGTTTGATCTACAGCAGCAGCAGAAGAACGACGGGGGATTTCCATCAGACGATGACAACTTATGGTGGTGGTGGTGAAGAAGAAGCAGGAGGAGACGACGACTACGTTCCAGGACCATCGCCTTCGGTGGATTGATTTCAATGACAATGGAGTCCGAAGCAGCAGCAGCAGATGGATGGGGTTCCAGGACAACAAACAACAGGTGGATGGATTCAATTGGGATCGTCAATAGGGAAAGTAGTCTACGAGTTGCAACTACGGAACTGGACTTCGAAGGAGGAGGAGAACGAGAACGGATTGCAGAGATGATCATCACGTTCCATTCGAGGACGGATGCCGCCCTTTTCACAGATGCTGGTTCCGACACGACCTAGGACCCAGGACGATGGACAGAGCAGCAGCAGGGATTCTCCGCAGACGTTCCGTGAGCATTTTCTTCAATTGGATGAGAGTTCCAGGCCATTGCAATCGCATCCAGGGGGCGAAATCATCGAGGATGAAGAGAACGACGACTGCAAAGGAACAGCACAGCAGAGCCTTTTCGCTGCGACACGGGATTCCAAAACAACTGCAAGAAGTCATGGTATTCTCTCACTCTTCAATCTAGAGCAAAAGGGATAGCGGATTTCAAGATACAATTAACTTCAGAAGGATTTTTCAACAACGATGACTGAGGACCATAACCGACCATCCAACGCCACTAAACAACTTCCTCCACTTCGAACGAATCCACACATTCGGATACGCATGATCGACGTCAACAAGAAGAATCGTTGGATCGGTTCCAGCTTTACGGTTCTTTCCTCTCGCATAGATTGGATTTGGATGGATGATCATCATGGACCCTCTTCTTAGGATGGATTTCCAGGACAACGAAGACTTCTACTACCACATCGGAAGGATTTCCAGGATGACTGCGACTTCTTCACATAGGACTACGGAGACGTCGGATGGATTTCCAGGACGAGACGGACGGCGGCAGGGCTTCTTCGGTAGACCTTTCTTTTTTTGGATCGGTTTCTAGGACATCATGGGCGAGGAATCTAGGACAACGGAACTTTCTTTCAACATCATATGGACGATCGCCCAGCAGAACCTTCTTCGGATGGATTTCAAGAACAACGGCGATGACATATTATTGGATTGGTTTCAAGGAGGACGCGGACGTGCGTGAAGAGTTTCGACTACACCCGATGGACGACGGATGGCAGGGATCTGCCTCTACTACTGGTGACTGTTTTGCAGATTGGTTGGATTGATGGATGTTTTAGGAAAGAGATCCTGCATGGCATGACAGACTAGAGGAAATTTAAAGAAGATGATGATCATAGTATCGATTAATAACAACGTTGGTATTTTCTCGATAATCGATTGCTTCAGATATGGAAGTATATTTTTCTGTTTCGCTATAGTTGAATTACTTCATTGTGAGATGCAGACCCAAATTAACAACAAATGATGATGATGCTTTAAAATGCTCCGATGATTCCAATGAAATCAAATGTTAAAGATGATGATCGAACGAAGTTTCAAGGATCAGCAGATGTGAGGATGATGCTTTCTGGATTGGAATGGATGAAAATATATCGATAATTGTATAATACCCTCTTAATGTATTTTACTTAACATGTATTGATTTCAAGGAGAACGAAAATACTTGTGGATAACAGCAGACAATCAATGGTCACTAATATTAGAGTTCACTGCAATGCTATACCTAATTACGAATGGGATGAACGAAGGAGGAAATAATATGGTATACCAATTGTTATTTGTAATTGACTGAATTCAGCACGACGGACGGATGGATGATGAATTGCTGCCTATTGCCGATTTCTATTGTTAATGAAAGATATACACACAACAACAACAAAACGATGATGATGTGAATGAAGTGGAACCAACTTAGCCAAAATGGAGATCTTGTTGATGTCAAATTGCATTTCGCTGCAATTCCAGGAGTTCAGAGATGATGATATTTAAAATCTATCTATATTCATAACCGCACATTTCAAACGTGGAGATTGCAGACTGCAAGATCGTGAAGAAAAGTGGAATGGTGGATGTAGGGAGCCATAATAATTCACTTTTCTATAACGAGATTGACAGCTGCATCGTTTCACACCAGGACGACGACGACGATGACGACGACGAAACAGACAGCCCATGATGATCAGCCAGCCCACCTATGGATGGAAGAGGATGGATTAATGGATTTATTTCAGTACCACAAGACGACGAGCATCTGTACCACGAGATGCTGCAATGTAAGAACATGCAAATTTACATAAATGCATTATACTATTAATTATTTCATTTTCAGGATCACCAGATGGATGGATCTATCGATCAGTGGATGGATTTCGATGCGAACATTGTTGGGGGTGGAGGGTCGACCATGATTGATACTTTTCCAGGAATCGAGAATTTCGTGATGATCGGACCACTTCCTCCACTGTTGCTGATAGCAAGTAGCAATCGTAGTTCTTCAGTACCTGAAGGTGGAGGGCCAAAGAGGATTGCACGACCGACGACGACGACGAAGCCACCATCGAGGAAAACAACAAACTTTGATTGCTACCAGAACAAAGATCACGACGACAACCCCGACTACGATTGTAACTTGTTCGCAGAAGCCAGAGGACGAAGCAGGATTGCTGTTGCCAACGCCAGAATCAACGAAGGACGACAACGACTGCTACTTTCTGCTGCTATTAATACTTGCACCAGGATCTACGGAGGAGAAATACCTTTGCTACTTGCCCCCAGGACCCAGAGGACCGACGAGTATTGCTGTTGCCAACGCCAGAATTAACGAAGGACGACGACGACTGCTACTTTCTGTTGCTATTAATACTTGAACCAGGATCTACGGAGGAGAAATGCCTTTGCTACTTGCCCCCAGGACCCAGAGGACCGACGAAGATTGCTGTTGCCAACGCCAGAATCAACGAGGGACAACTGCTACTTTCTGCTGCTATTAATACTTGATGGAGGATCTACGGAGAAGAAATACCTTTGCTACTTGCCCCCAGGACCAAGAGGACCGACGAGGATTGCTGTTCCCAACGCCAAAATCAACGATGGACGACAACGACGACTGCTACTTTCTGCTGCTATTAATACTTGATGGAGGATCTACGGAGGAGAAATACCTTTGTTACTTGCCCCCAGGACCAAGAGGACCGACGAGTATTGCTGTTGCCAACACCAGAATCAACGAAGGACGACGACGACGACTGCTACTTTCTGCTGCTATTAATACTTGCACCAGGATCTACGGAGGAGAAATACCTTTGCTACTTGCCCCCAGAACCCAGAGGACCGACGAGGGTTGCTGTTCCGTCCCATCTCCAGAACCCAGAGGAAAGACGAGGATTCCTGTTCCCATCCCCAGGACCCAGAAGACCGACGAGGATTGCTGTTGCCACCCCCAGGATTAATGAAGGATGACTACTACATTGTTACTTGACCAATAATCTACGGAGAACTTCCATTGCTGCATCATGCTACCAGATGACAACTTGTCCAAGGTTCTACGGAGGAGAACTACTTTTGCTACTTGCCCTCAGGAACCAGGATAGATGACCATTGCTATTTGGACCACCTCGCCCCCCCACAGGACCAAAGAAGGAGGACGACCACCAGGACCCAGGATTGCCGTTGCTATTTTGATCACCAAGAAGGAGGCTGAGATTGCTGCTGCATGCTGTGAGGAGGACCCATGGAGAAGAACTACTACCTTTACTACTTACCCCGTCATGATCTGTAGGATGTGGAGACTACAATTACACCAAGGACGCAAGAAGAAGGACCTCGACGACTACTAGTTGATCCCCAGGACCCAGGATGGAGGATTAAGAGTTATCACCGAGGAACCAGGACTACGAGGACTACTAATATCGCACCAAGGAGGACCCCAAGGATCCAGGATGGATGACTTCTGTTGCCATTTGTTTCCAGGACCCAGGAAGGATGACTACTGTTGCCACCCCCCACCGCCCCCCGCGTGCTCTAGGAAGAAGATGACTACTGCCGTCCAGGATTTAGGAATCACCATTGCCTATCATCACCAGGATTTTGAAAAGAGGAGACTATCGCTATTATTTCGTCTCCTGAAAGTAGATAGTTGCGCTAGAAATTGTATCCTGTTCGTATGATTCAGTAAAAAAAAAAGACTACTTTCTACTATTACTTTTATAACTATAATTGAGAATTTTAAAATCTGCTTCCCCCGCTAAACTTCTGGAGTCTTTAGTTGCAGTTTTGTTATATATTTAACAAAAGAACATTAAAAAAAATTGTATGTGGATTAGCTCAACATTTTGATAAATTGCACTATTCTCATCTTAATGAAGAACAAATAAAATATTAATATTATTGTATATAAATACACTAATGCTGTGTTATGTTATGTTAATATTAAAATAATAGAAATTATATAAAATTAATGAAAATTATTATTTAATTGTATTATTTATTTACTCTTATCTGCAAGTAAAGAAATAAAGTTACTTTCATCATATTTACACGTGTCAGTGGTTAAATGGTTAAGAAGTAGCAATTGTTAGCAGCTAATATAAGTCCGCTTTCTACTTTTACGTATAACAATGTTTTCTTTTTTAAATATATAAATCGTACTGAAAAAATAATGAATTCTTAATGACGACGACGACGCGTTGCCTGCCTATCTATTAACCAAAATTAAGTTACGAAGATTGCCAGTTTAAAATGCGAAGCATATATATGCAATAAGTGTAATCATTACACTTACAGATATTGTATGCAACCGTGCCATCAAATTGCAATTTGCAACCCTCCGTACTACACTGTCCAGTGACAACAGTGTATTTATTACTTTACGTTGGTATCGGTTATGTTGGCTACGATTGACAGTTGGCCGCCTGTCATTATCACCATCGTGTCCGTCGGCTGTATCCCCACCCATCTACTGGCATCCAATCGTCGTCGTAGGAAGGAAGAAAAAGCAGGTGAGGTCGTCGATAATACCAGAGCCTATACCATCATATTCCGTCTTCCGTCGAACCAACAATACCGTGTGTTGCAATCGTAAGTAATATCCATCTATCTTTAATAACAAACCAACAAAATATCGATGAAAATGCATGTACGTACGTACGTGTGCTCCCTGCCTGCACTCTCCATCTCGCTCATTCCCTCCTCCTTCTCCTCCTCCTCCTCATCCTCTTCTTGCTCCTTCATCATCATCATAATCATATCGTTCCTTCGCATATTCTGAATCATCCCCCCCCCCCGTTCTCCTTATCGTACAAGAAGATAATATACGTACGGGCAGCGCGCAGCACTCGTTGCTAAAAATCTTTATTTAATTGTGCCGTTATTGTCGTTATAGCAACAACAACAGCAGCAGCAGCCGTGCCGAAGAAACAAAAGAATAGAAACGGTCGAATTTTTTAAGTGAGTAAGAAGCATGGCCGATTTAGATGATTTCTTTGCGAAGAAGGACAGGAAGAAGTCAAAGACGAAAAAGTATTCGACGACGGAAGAGGTTGCCAAGAAATTGGAGGACAACAACAAGAAGGTCGACAAACCAGTGAAGAAGGTCGTGACGGAGGGCGACGAGACCGGCGCCGAAATACACGTAAGTCAGCAAATACTCTTTACATTCTTCTGTCTTGCCACGACGACGACGACGGCGACGATGATGTGATCTTTAAATTCGTACGATAACAATAGGTTCAATTGTTACTATATGTTGGCAAATTGATGGGGGTCAGTGTGTCAGAAATGTGAGGTTATGCGATTATGGCGGCGCCATATTGCAATTAGGGACATACACATAGACATACACACACACTCATCTGTCTGCAAATAACAACATGATGACGATAACAAGCGTCTGTCAATATATTGATGTATTTATTTGTTGTCTGTATATGAAAACAGGATTTGGATGAGTGGAAGGACTTTGAGGAGGAAAAGAAAGATTACACTGGGCTGAAGATCGGCAATCTAACCATAAACTCGGAGCTGGAGAATCAGAATACAGGGCAGGACAGTAACTATGAGCAACAGGAAACAACATATGACGAGGCAGGAAACGAGGTCGAGAAGAAGGTAGGACCATGGAAAAGGATGGGCAACGAATCGACGGGTTCGGCGGCGACGACCCAGGGACAGCAGCAGCAGACCCAGGCAGATTATTCACGCGTGGAGGAGCGGAGGCAGGAATCCGCGCCGACGACCAACGTCGTCTCCGGCACCTACGTTCCGCCCAGCAAACGTAACCAGCCGTCGCAGCCGCAGAGTATGCAGTCGAGCCGGCTCAGGTCGAAGGCCGCTCCTGACATCCACAACGAGGAGTACTTCCCCACACTGTCCGGTGCCAAGGAACAGAAACAGAGGTGAGAATCAATTCAGATATCACTCACGATATTACAATTAACAATAATAATAATAATAATGTGAAATTAATAACAAACATTGCTTTACAGATCTCGAAATGAGGGCTCCTTCGAGGTCGTCTCACACAGCAAATCAAATTCATTGAGATATGTGGAACAGCAGAAGGGCAATTCTCAGGGGCCAAAGCTGAGCCTTGGCAATCGCTACAACACCCTCAGCAACGACAGCTAGTGTCCTGCATGCAAACACACACACACAAACAAGACCACACGCACACATCATCGCACCACCACAACCACCACCCATCTACAGCAGCAGGACAACAAATGGTGACAACCACAACAAAAACATCGACCATCTACAGATGTAGATGCGTGTGAGGCGGCTTTTGTGTTGTACATCTCCTCTCATCGTGTGTGTCATACATATATATTATGAAAAGTAACTGATTAGTGACGCGTCGTCGTGATCCCTTCCTCTCGAGTGTGCAGCGCGCGCGCGGTCGGAAAAAAAAATCAATTTTTTATTAATTTCATCCTTTTTACTATTATTATTTCGGTTTATTTTCAATTACTGTTTCGTAATAAGTATATTATATATATATATGTGTATATATAATGATGAATGCTGTTGATTTCCATACACTCAAATCATACGTCCAAACCCAATCTCCTCTCGATCCTAGCAAAAAGAAAAGTTGGCCACATCATCATCATGGTGATGGTGTGAGTGAAAGTTGGGGGGGTGGCAGTGGATGTTTCTTTGAATTGTGTATTATCATTGGTTCATTTCTTTACGATTATATTTTATTTCTCGGTGTGGATGGGTGGGATGCGATTGTCTGTCTGTCTGTCTGGTCGTTTGTCTTCAGTGTGCATACAAAACCAACAATATGTATATAAAATTTATTTTAATTTTATATTTGCGTGGCTGAAACTGAATTAAGTAACTAACAACAACAACAACAAAAATATTATGATTATTACTGCAACAACAACAACTATTATTATGATACAAATACATGATTCTTTTTATATATATATAAACCAAAAACATTGAATGTCTCCTCCTCTATATATGTTTGTTAAAAAGTGGGCGTTGTCCGGTTGGAGGGAGAGGCGTGGACGTGGGCGGTCTAGATATTGTTCAGGTCGTCGACGGTGGACATTTCGCTGCAATGCATAGATATAATATCGTTTTTCTATTATACGAGTATGTCGCGACGTGCTTTCTCCGTCGATTCGGGATCTCTTAGATACCTGCTCACGTATTTGAGCCCATGATCACCGTTATTGCTGTAGCTACGGTAGGTCGTCCTCTCGAGCAATTCCGGCCTGAAGTTGTGTATGAAATAGATCCAAACTGGCATCTTTATTATCTGCGACGTCGATGATCCTCCGCTTCTTCCATCAGATGCGAGCAAAGGTCTGACCATGAATTCGTTGCGACAGTAATAGTTGGGATGATCTTCGAGTTCATCCAGATCGGCGAGAACGCGTTCATCCACCTCGTACACCTCTCCCATCACATTGAAACCTTTCCCTACGAATATGAATTGATTTTTTAATAAGTATATACATGGTTCAATGGTTCTCACCTGGGTTGTGCAAAAGGAACGGAATGTTGAATCTAGTACCAATGATAAGTGGGTACTTTTCCACCGTTTCCGCCTCGCACAGAAACTTGTGGTAACCGTCTTTGCATTTGGAGAAGCATTCGTGATTCGGTTCTCCCCTTTTGAGGGTGCCGTAAACGAACACCTTGTACAGTTTGGACGCAGCAACAGAAGCAGCCATCGTCTTCATTCTTGAACCAAAACATTTTATCGATACCATCAATTCCACTTCAATCTGACATTTGTCTTTACTATTACTATGTTTACCAAAGAAAGCAAATAAAACTGTATCGTTGTTTTGACGATTGATATGGAGAAAAGTGAAATTACACAGTTTGAGTAAATGCGAGTAATTCTATGAGCAATTAGCGAAAGTGGAAAATTTTTGCTGCTGCATCAGCGGCAACAACCTGTGCACCCACGTTAGTTTGGAAACCTAAATATCAAAGAATCCTAACCTAAAACTGTGTGTGTGTCTGTGATACGTCAGTAGCAGTCAGTAGGTAATAAATAATTTTGAATTGCCGCTGCTATTGTTATTGTTGATGCTGACTAATAACGACCGTATTTAGTTTGTAGATATTGAAACGTGCCTGTTGCTGAATGGATAAAATGCGAATCGTCGTGGAAGCGGATATCCGCTGCTCCTCCTCCTTCTCCTCCATACCGTTACAGACCAGTCGTCAGGGTGTGGTGTAAACAAAGCTAAAGAGATTTAACAACGCCGACACGAGAAGCAACAGCAGCAAACAATAAAACGGTCAGTGAGTGAGTGAGTGTGTGTACTTACCTACGAGTAAGTAGGCAATTTATTTAGATTGTGTTTTCGAGTAATAAACGCGCACGTTAATAAACATCAACAACAACAACACATCATATACAGTGGGGGAGAGAGATAGATTAGATAAGATTCCTCGCGCTCGAAGGTCGTTTCCCAGCGCTGCCGATGGTCGCCGACGATCTACCGACACTTGATCTATGGTAACCTATGAGACTGTTGATTTCCTTTAAAGATGTTCCGCAATCGGGAAGCTTCCCTTCCATCACCACTCTGCTCAAGCCCTTATTGCTGTTGTTGTTGCTGCTAATACTGACATTGTTGTTACTTCCAGCCTGTAATAGACTCATGGACTTTTGATACTTTACTGTATCGGCCAATTCCTCAAGCACCTTTTCTGTGATCAAATTATCTGCAATCACTTGTATTAGAAATGAAAAGTTTCTTCATCGTGCTTTTGCATTTCTTCACATGATATATTGAGGTGCATCAGCGTGTTGTTGCCGGAGCAGTAGATCTCGTGATTCTCTGGAACGCTTTCGGTGACGAACGGATGACGGGATTTTGGCACTTCTTTTTCAAGCAGATGCTCCAATTTCGCGCTCTTCGTCGATGTCGAACTGCTCGCTGTGCCCTCAAATAATGAATTGTCACTTAATCGCATCATTATCATCATCATAATAATCATTACCGGTAGTGGATTTTTTAGCCCAGAGATCGGATTTCGTTGCGCTGCGCTTCCTCTTCACACTCGACTCGGATGACTTTTTCGAATGGCTGCCAGAAGCAGCGCTGGAGCATCTCGCATTATCATTACCAGCAGAAAATTCCTCGATCTATGCAATTCAATGATAAATCATTGATCATTACGATAATATAAAGAGCAGACCAGAGCATCTCTTTTCTGCAGATAATCAAAGTTGATGCGTCTCCTGCGCTCGATCTCGCCCTGTCGAAGAGCGAACCTCCTGAAGACGTGCAAGAAATAAACGAGTCCTTCTTCGCCGATCCCGTTGTCGGCGATGTTGAGGGCGAGAAGCGTTCGATTTGCGCGCAACGCGTCCGCCAACGCTCGAATCCCTTCGTCGCCGATAGCCCCGTTACCAGAGACATTGAGGGCGAGCAGCGTTTCGTTCTCGGCCAATTGTTCGGCAAGTTCGGATGCGCCTGAAGGATCGATGTCGCAGAGCTGCAGATCGAGGAACTTCAGTTGGTGATTGGTGGTGCTGGTGGTGGTGTCGTGCAGCAAAGGATGCTGGAAATTCCGAAGCGTATTTCCGCGCAGACTTAGACTCGTTATGTTCGGGTTATCTTCGAGTATCTTCAATATCTCCGGTATGAATTCATCCTGCAAATTGCAGAATTCGAATCTGAAAATGACAAAAAGAAGAAGAAGGAGAAGTGATGTTTCATTTCGAAAATATTCCTATATTGTGACTTTAGTTCTTTCAGTCCTCTGAAACTTTGCAACGTGATCCGAAGACTCTCGAGCATGTCGTGCACCATTCGATTCTTGCGACAGCGAACAGTCGTCAGCGTTTGTCCGTCGTCGTTCTCGTAGTTCAATGTGACGATCGGCAGTCGTAGGTCCTGTTTCCACTTCGGACCCGATCTTGATGACGAAGATGATTTCTCGATCTCCGATCGGACGATGATCGGTGCGTCTAGACCTCGATGGTATAGATTGGTGGTGAACGATTCGACGAACATGTTGCTGCTGACCGGACCGCCGCCGCCGACGCGGTCGACCATCGAAGCCCTCGAATTTTGACTGCGCGGAGTGCGTGTCTTCTTCAGACTGTAGACGGACGAACATGATCTGAGCGTGGGGATCGACGTCAGAGACATTGCGTTGCGTTGCGTTGCGCGATTATAAATATTAATGTTTTACGTTGTACGTTGCAGGTGATCGAGATCGAGATGGTGTACGTCATCGTGACGGGCAGGAGCCTGCTTTGGGTGCTGATGAGTCTCGTGTCGACGGTGTTGATGCTCGTTGCATTCGCGAGTCCCGTTTGGTTGGTGGGAATGCCGAAGAGCATCAGTTACGGCAACGAGACTCGCCTGTACAATCCGAGCATCGGTGTCTACTCCAGATGCAAGGAGCCGTCGCGAGATGGATCCAACTGCAACACGCTGGCGGTGCGCGGTCTCCTCACCGACCCGGAGGTCTTCCCGGACGCTTGGAAAGCGGCCTGCGTCTTCCTCGGCACCGGTACGAATTTCCTTTCCTTTCGATACTTATGGATGACAAAAGAAGGTGCGTCGACTTGCAGGACTGGCCATCATGACGTTCACAGTGTTCTGCAGCGTCGCCGGCTGCTGCTACCAGAGCATCTGCAAGAAGAGCATCTTCACGGTCGCGGGATCGGCGCAGGTGGTGGCGGGCATGTTCTACATCCTGGTGCTGTTCCTCTTCCCGATGGCGTGGAGTTCGAGACGGGTGCAGGCGCTCTGCGGCAGGGAAGTATCGCACTTTTATCCGGCCGACTGCTCGTTCGGTCTGGGCATGTGGATCGCGATCGTCGGGACGGCGCTCACCTTTTGCACAGCCTACATCTCGATATACGCTGACAAGGCGACGAGCAGCGATCACGTTCAGGATCAGATCTCTGACGGACGCACCCTCATCTGCCTCCCCTAAAACATTACAAAGATGCAAAGAACAAGCAAGTAGCACTCGTGTCTTCCGTTCTTCAATTTATTTATTCAACAACAACAATAACAACAACAAACAAGAACGATGACGATGATCAGAGCTTCATCCAGACGAGGCATTTATTGTTCGAAGGCATATCGCATTTATCGATCAGTTCGATGCCGTTCTCCTTGGCAATCTTCTTCAAATCGTCGATGTCCCTCAGACCCCACGAGGGATTTCTGCGTTTCAGGTCCTCGTCGAAGTCGACGTTGCTCTCCGGCTTGATCACGCCATCCTCTGCGTACGGTCCGTACGTTGCCATCAAACCGCCCTTCGGTTTCAGCAGTTTCCCGGCGCTCCTGAAGAGACCTTCCGTGCATTCGATCGGACTGATGTGGATCATGTTGATGTTGATCATGTAGTCGTACCTCTTGAGCGGTAACTTCCATCCATCGCAATCGTTGGACACGTCGACGAGGATCGGTTGTCTGATGTTCTTCTTGGGGAAGGCGTCGGCTGCGTACGCCTGGATGCTGCGGAAGAGGGCGTCCTCGTATTCGGTCGGTTGGAAGGTCAAGTTTTGAAAGTGCTTTGCAAAGTGCGCGGCGTGTTGCCCAGTGCCGGAAGCGATCTCGAGGACGTCGCCCGGTCGTGACGAGTCGAAGTGTTTCTTCAGCACGTCCAGGATGTACACCTTGTTGCGTTCCGCAGATGGATAATTAATCTTCTCCCTGCATTCAAACATTTGTACAATTACTATTAGTATTAATTAATACCACCAGTGCCTTTTTTTCAATCTCGAAATTCGAACGTGCTCAATCGACTATTTCTATTAATGATTAATGTTTCTATATTTTTACTAACATCCTTTTATACATACATATATTTAATAATAATTATCGGAAAGTAACAAATACTTTTCTTCCTACTTACGTCATTTTCTTAGCGACAGACGATAGCAACGAACAAAGGCGCATCTAGAAAACATGAATACATCATCATCATATATTGGTTACAATTCCACTAAAAAATTAGTTCGAAAGCCAAACACAATTGAAATAATAATATTGCTGTAATTTTTATTTAATTGTTATCGAAATTAGTATTTACATTTCACAATAATTTAAATCATCATCGTCGTCATCATCAATCACGTTCTGTTAATGTTATGCTGTTTATCCTTTTTACTCTTTTTGCCACCGTGCACAACACCACCACCGCCCGATTGTTCCTTCTGTATTAAAACACTGTGACCGGTCCTCTTCAGGTGCTCGAACAGTTTATTTTTTGAATCAAATCGCGCTTTACACGAGACGCAGCTATGTCCCTTCTCCATGTCCAGCTCATCGCCATCTTCGTGCACCACCGACGTCGTCGCATTGTTCATCCTCTTTTGCTTCTTTTTTTTCTTCCCCCTTGTCATGGTTTCCTCTTCTTCCGCCTCCTGCTCCTTCTCTTCAACCATCTGTTGTTTCTCATCGTTTTGTTGCTGCTTCTGCTGTTGATCCTTCTTCTGTCTTTTACCTTTTTTCTTTACTTTGCTAACACTAAAGTCCTTGTCATCTGTTTGATCTTCATCATTATTATCATCATCTTCTTCTAAGAAAACAGCAGATTCCTCTTTCTCCTCGACGTGATTCACCAGAAGCACCTTCTTGTTCCTCCTCTTATTCTTCTTCCTTTTGCTTCCTTCCATCTCTAC